GTAGGATTCAAATCTAGTACCTTAGAATTGAAGATCGATACTCCAACCACTAAACTACTATGATTTTTCGATAATAACTTATAAATAAATTATATTTATATACAAATAAAAATGTATATCCATGTAAATATAAAAATATAAAATATATAAATATAAAATATATAAATACAAATACAAATATATTTATATGTTAGATGTGAGAGCGCTTGAGGGTGAAAGTGTGTGTCAAGTGGGTTTTCAAAATTTGATGTCAAATTTGTGAGCGAGTCTTTTTATATGAATTTGTAATTTAATGATAGAATATAATCTTTATAATTTATTTATAATGATATAAAATATAATCTTTATAATTAATTTATATAATGATATAAAATAAAGAAAAAAATTATTTTATATCATTATATAAATAAATTATAAAGATTATATTTTGTCATTAAATTATAAATCCATATAAAGAGACCCGCTCACAAATTTGGCATCAAATTTTGAAAATTCACTCGACACACACTTTCACCCTCGAGCGCCCTCACATCCAACATATAAATATATAAATATTTATATGTATATACATTTTTATATATTTATATATTTATATGGATATATATTTTTATTTGTATATAAATATAATTTATTTATAAGTAATTATCGAGAAAATCATAGTAGTTTAGCGGTTGGAGTATCAATCTTCAATTCTAAGGTATTGAGTTCGAATCCTACCAGTAGCAATTTTCTTAATTTGATAATAATTCAAATTCCTAAAAAATATAATATAAAAGGGGGAGGAGACCTCTAGATAAATAGGGTAATTAGAGAGGGGTTATAAATAAATAAAGATATTAGACTTTCTACATCGGTCCCTTACAACCGATGTTGTTGAGAGAGGAGGCCAACCTCAAAATGGTCAGGGACAATGACTGAATCCCATTATGATAGTTTCTTGATTCGATTGCAGAGTTATGTTGGTTCATTGCATTTGCTAGAGAGTCAAGAGACCGTAGGTAGGAGTAGGATCGAGTTAAATAAGTCGATATCATCCATAGTAATATGCAATAAAAATATGTTAAACGATGGTGTGAAGTTGGTTCTAGTATTTTTATTTATTATTATTGGTTCTATAAATAACAAAAATAAGAATATTTATCCGTAATTATTATTTGTATTTATAAATATTTTATCCTGCTACAACACTTATTTGTTGTTTCATATTTGTTAAACTTAGTTTAAAAATTAGCTTTTACATTTTGAATTATAAAAAGAGATTCATAGCTTCATTATATATATTAACTAACAACACATGATATTAAACTAATAATTTTCTTGACTATATTAACTAAAAAGTTAACATTAACAAAATAAATCATAATTTTTGAAAATCAGAAAAAAAAATTGACTTATATTCTAATACTCGTTATATGAAAAACATATTTTATCTATTCTTTATCACCATATAATCAATTTAATGTCTTAACCTCTCTAATATTATATTAAATTTAAAAGCTATATTATTTATTTAGTTGTACATAATCTAAAGATCAAATAAAATAATGGATTTTAAAGACTTAAATAAAGCTGAAAAAAATTAAATCATAAGTTAATTGTTATTAATTTTAAAATACAATATGATGGTATGACAACGAAATAGGGTGGGGTCGGGTTTTCCCTCTCCAATCCACTGTCGACTTTTTTAACCTTCCCCGTCGAAGTTAGAAATTAAGTATTTATTTCTCATCTTCATTGGATTTCAGGTTTTCCTGTCCTCAATATATATTATTTTTAAAAAGATAATTATATTTATAATAAATTAATTTTACTATTTTTATGTATTTTTTATATATAAATAAATATTTACAATTTGTAATTATTATTAATTAAATATATATTTTAATTTATTATATTTATATTAAAATATATATGTAAAATAAATATTTAATCACTTTTTATTTATACATATATAGAATATTTATAATAATATTATAATTATAACATTTTATCTAAACATTTGAATACTTATAATAATACTATATTCAAATATTTGATTACATATATAAGTTAATTTATTTTTAAGTTGTTATTTAAAAAATAAAATATTTAATAAATTAATTCATATTTAATTAGTTTGAAGTAATAAAAGTTTAAATTATATATTTTTTTGAATCCTTTAAAATAAAATTATTTTATTAAGATAAAATGTAATATATAATAAATAAGAATAATAAGATCCAAAAAAATATGACATAATAAACCTAATAAATATAAATTATAAATAAAATAATATTAGTTACTATTAAGATTTATGTAAAATATTTAGAAAAGGATAAATAAGAAAAAAAATTTGTGTTCATCAAATTGGTTGAAAAGATTAAAAAAATTGATTGGAAAAATTAAGAAAATGTGAAAAACTGAAAAATAAGAAAAAGAGAATAATGTAATAAATTAATTGATATAAAAAATTTACAAAAGATAAAAAATTCAAAAACAGATAGAAAAGTAAGAATGATAAAATATAAAAAAATATCTTATATATAATAGAAAAAAATTATTCTTAAAATATTAATATTTTAAAATTTAAATTTAAATATAAAGTGTGAGGATGGAGTGAGAATTGTATTATTTATCTCCATCCCCCTCTTGACTTTTTAAAGCAAAAAAAATTTAAACATATCTCAATCTTTTCTACCAAACTTGGAATAATAACGCATCGATCTCACTTATATAAGCTTAATTATGTTTCTAATAAGTATATTATTGATTAATCCTACATAAAATCCCGCTAGTGCTGGAATTATAAATATTTTCTGTAGTAGTGGAAGCGTGTTAAGACCATCGCAAACATCTTTTGACTTAGATATTCGAATAAACGAGAGCACCTTGGAAAAAGAAAATGTAAGAAAAAAAAAAGGTGACCAGTAAAGAAACTCAAATAATTTAACAATAGAAAGGTGACTCGTAAAAAAATAAAAAACCTCAAATCTATAATATATAGAAACGGAGCTCATCTAATGAATCTATAATATATAGAAACGGAGCTCATCTAATGACAGTACACGCTTTCGTTGACGGTTACATTTACCAAGACAACTACCATGTGAACACCACCTATATATTTTAAACTATTGTTTGGTTTGATTTCTCGACTTTATATCACTTTAGATAACTTGTGTATTGTCTTTTCCTTCTTTATTTTTATATTATACATTATAATTTATAGATGCATATCATATATATTGTCAACATTATTTGAATTATTTTTTATCAAATTCATGTCCTTTTGGTGGTTATTATTACTTCAAAATATTTCAAATGGTTGTTTTCTTTAATTTGTTGGTTATCACTAATTTAAATAAAATTATTCAACAACCAAATACAGTGTATTACCTTTTATACATTATTACCTTTATGTTATTGTTCATTGTGAGATATGGGACTTTTTTTAATAAATAATACTATTTTTAAAAATATTTTCCAAAATAGCACGTCTAGAACATTATTTACACAACTAGTACCGTTTATTGTTCACGTATTAAAATAAACGATTATTTTATATTATGATCGATTATTTCGCGCAATGAACTCTCGCTCAAGCGAAGAAACCCTTCGCTTGAGCGAGGAAATCTGTAACAAAAGGGTAATCTCGGGTCAATTCTCGTTTAAGCGAAGAAACCCTTCGCTTGAGCGAGGAAATCTGTAACAAAGGGTAATCTCCTGTCAACTCTCGCTCAAGCGACGGGTATTTTCGCTTGAGCGAGAAGTGATTAAAATATGTGATGACCCAAGTTGCGTTATATGGCTAACTACGTTGGACGTTTAGCCAGTGTCAATTCTCGCTCAAACGATGAGTTCCTTCGTTCGAGCGAGAATTGATTGGGTAACTGCGTTGGACGGTGGTCAATTCTCGTTCAAGCGAGACATCCATCGCTTGAGCGAAGAAATTTATAATCGATTATGATTTGAACTAATCGATCATAATTTTAAAATAATCGACATATAATAGCAGTTTCACGTTAACCGCTATCTAAAATATACTTTTAATAGCGGTTAGTTCTAGAACCGCTATCTAAAATCTCAACTTGGGTGGGTGACTCAGCATTGTAAATAGTTGCAGGTTTCCTCGCTCAAGCGATGGGTTTCTCGCTTGAGCGAGAATTGACCATAGCTAAACGTCCAACGCAGTTAGTCACATAATGCAACCTGGGTCACCACATATTTCAATTACTTCTCGCTCAAAAGTACCCGTCGCTTGAGCGAAATATACGGTATTATAATACATTTATAATGATATTTTACAAAAATCAAAAGAAAAATAAATCTCAATGTCAGCATGTTCACCGGGAATTATTATGTTTACTTTTGACGATATATCTTCCCACTCTTGCTTTGTGTTTGCACTTAAACAAGAACCAAGGATCTCAAGAGCTAATGGTAGTCCTCCACAATAAGCAACTGCCTTTGTTGCAAGTTCTTTGAAATCTTCTTTTGGTTTGCTGTTTTGAAAGCATGCCAACTGAAAAGCTCAAGGGAATCATCTTCGTTCATATCATCTATTTTATAAACAGAGTTAATTTTGAGTTGGTTCAGTAGGCTAACATCTCTAGTTGTAATGATTATCACAGTTCCTTGACCGAACCATTCACGATTTCCGCATAGATCTTCTAATTGGACAAATTCAGTCACATCATCAAGCACAATGACCAACTTTTTTCGAGAAAATGTTTTCTTGATTATAGTTTTCCCCATCTCAACGTTTTGGATCTTGTACTTCTTGGATTCTTGTAGGGCATCATTAAGAAGATATTTTTGAGCACGAACACTCCCTTTTTCTTCACCATAAACTTTTCTAATACCGTAAATAAAACTTGTACCAATGAATGCTCGATAAAGTCGGTTATAGATTTCCGCTGCTAAGAGTGTTTTACCCGATCCTCCCATTCCCCATATCCCTATGATACAGACTTTGGTGGATTGATTTTCAATACATTCAATCACCTTTTCGACGTGGGACTCTAATCCAACGGGATATTCAGCTGTACACAATGAACGCGGGTAACAATCAGGTGCACAAGCTCAGCATCATGCCTTCAAGAACAATGGTAATCTATTACCAAAAATAAATATCAACCTTAATATATATATATATATATATATATATATATATATATATATATATATATGTATGTGAATGATAATTGACGTACCGGATCTCTGTGACATCCCAAACAGTGATTCCTGCAGCGTGAGTGCATGCCTCCATCTGGACAAAGCATGTCTCAGTTCTTTTCCTGAATAACTTTTCTTTGCAGCTTCTTTCAACGCTTTTCCAAAATCACCTTCTGATAACGTACATCGGATGGGTGGATCTCGTAAAATACGCACAGAACCATTTGGCCAAAAGTTTGGTGGCACTCAATGATTTTTTCAAGCTCACGAAGACACCGAGTTGACTCAGGGTATGTTTTGGAGAAAATAATTATTGCAATCTTAGACCCTGTTATTGCTCCCATGCGTTCTTCCAGCTTCGTTCCCCTGTGCAGATGGTCCTCGTGAACCAAAGTTTTGAATTCAGCTTGTAAAAGAGCAGATCGGAGATGAGAAAAACGAACTTTCTACCAATTTCCTCTCCCCAAAAGTTGATGGACACATCGTATATGAACTGGGGTTCAGATTTTAAGAAGGATGATGATGAAGATGATGAAGAAGAAGCGACCTCCATCACAGGAATTGAAGTCAACTCTGCAAAGATAAAGCAATAATAGATGATCAACAGTGCTACTATACCTTCACGTTGCAACTTATTATTATATCAGTGCTTTAATTTTATTTTATTTTTCTTAACCTTTATTTTAACTTCTACTAAAACCTTCTACAGATTTTAGTCTTTGAATTTTGCCATGCTAGTCACTATTGCCAATTAACAAATAGTTAAAAGATTTGATGATAATAGTTGTCTATCGAGTTATTATGTAAGAGTCTAATAAGAAGTTATAGGATAATAATAATAATAATAATAATAATAATAATAATAATAATAATAATAATAATAATAATAATAATAATAATAATAATAATAATTATTATTATTATTATTGCATCAAAATTTAAAATCACATGCCAAATTATTAAATTGTCATAAAACATAAAAATGTTGATAAAAAAAAGTTGAAAGACCAAAAAACCTTCAAAGTTTTTATAAAAATCGAAAAGTTTTTATAAACGTATTTCCGAGTTTTTTTTTAGGAATTATTTAAGAATAAAAATAAATATTTTATTATAAATTTTAATTATTTAAAATTTTGTGAAAAATAATTATATAAATAATTTTCTTCTCATTTTAATTAATTTCATTCAATTTTAAGCACCTTAAACTTATAATAAATTATTTTATTTTTAAATTCTTCTTACAATATAATTGCCATAAAAAAGAATAAGATTGCTCTAAAATGTTACCTATCCATGACCACTCTTCAACAAATTCTATGTTTTATTTTTTTTTCTCTTAAAGCCAAATCAATTATAAATATACATTTTAAAAGAAAATTTACATAAATAAAATAAACTTATTTATTATTTTTTTCTCTCTTCATTATTTTTTTCTATCCTCATTTGTATGTTTTATCTCATTCTATTTCACATCTTTTGTTTTTCCTCTCTCCTTTCCCACTTATTTTTCTAACTAAAACTATTATATTAAAATTTAATAAAAATATTTTAAAGTGATTATTTTAAATCAACATTAAAAAAATCAATCCTATAAATAATATATTTCAAAATAAAAATCACTTAATTAGAATATGTATTAATTTATTTACTTAAGTAAACATTAGTGTTGATATCGAATTTTTCTTCCCTTCTCATAATTTTTTTTATTTTTCCATTCTCTTCTTTTATTCTTATTTCTTTCTTTTGTACGATATATAAGTTTCTTATTTTTCTCTCTCATCTCCCACCAACTCTTCTAATTAAATCTATTATATTAAAATTTTAAAAAATTGTATTAATGTAATTTTTTTAAAATCAACATTGAAACTAAAAAAATAACAACTAATTATTTAAAATTATGATGATAATAAATAATTCTATTTACGATGATGTAAATAATAAATTTTAATTTATTTTTTTATAATAAATTAATTACTCATCTCTAATTAAAAAATATTTAATATTTATGAATTATATACATTTTTATTTAGTAATTTAATCTAGTTATAATTAGATTGAGTTATGATGATTAAGGATATTTAGTAAATTTTTTTATAAATAATAAAAGGCTTATTTTATCAAATTTTAATTTAGTATTTTTAATTAAAAGAATAAGAAGATGACAGAATAAGTAAGAGAAAAAAAAAGCACAATGAAAGAGAAAAAATAATAAAGTGCATTTTAGTAACATGTTTTGATATCAGGGTAAATCATTCACTATACGAATATTTAACACCAAAGCGCTATTAAATATAGTACGAAATGTGTTATTAATTTTCTTGTTACAATCTTTCATTTCGGTAAGCAACTAACTATTAAAATATAAATAATATTATCACACTAAACTAACATATAAATTGAAAAATAAAAAACATTATTAAAAGATAGTGGTAAAAATGAACGAATAAATAAGAAAAACAGAAAGCATATATTAATATTATATATAATAATATTTTATAAAATTGTCTAACCTCCAATTGAATCATTCTACATTTTACTCATGTATTCATAGACTGATTCTAAAAAACTTGTTAAAAATCTTAATCGAATATCACGATAATATGTTATATAAAAAACATCCTTTAAAATCTTAATTAAATATACCTCTAATTGACTTACTAAGGTGCACCCTATCATGTTTTATCTCTATTTTTAATTTGAATTTTAATTGTTTTTAAAGAGAATTTATCAGTTGTATTATAATGTAAATTATTCATTAAAAATTAAAATGTAATAATATTATTATGTACAAAATATTTATCATAAACTTTAATTATAATATAATTTATATTAAAATCATTTGTTTATGATAAAATTTAATCTAACAAAAATGAACATTAAATGAAAAGAAAAAATAATTAAAAGATTCTAATCCTAAAAAGTGGTTGTTGTTATGGAATATAAAATCATGATACTGAGAGAGGAATCCTCAGTGTGCTTAATATCGTTGCTTCTGACCTGGTTAAAAAATATTGATGCCCTTTCCGGAGATATATCTATATATATATTATTTTGGTGCAGGATTTCATCACATGAAAATTTTGATTTTTACAGTGATGGAAGTAACCATCTCAGGATTCATCGGCATAGTGTTTCTGGTGGAATCTCGATCGATTTCGATTCTAAACAGTGTTATGGTCTTAATCGAAATCCTCCCACGTAAGTTCTTTTTACTTAGGCTAGCAGTCTGACTTTCAATCGAAAACGTGTATGAGAATCGAAAGTTACAGCCTATAAAAATGCTATTTTTTAGTATTTTATATTTAGACTACCGAAAGCAGTAAAGTATCGAATCGAGAAACAGAACATTAAATTGCGAGGAAATATAAAGTGCGAAAACCCCAAACTTGCATTAATTGTAAATGACAAGAAATCGAAATTGCAGGAAAAGTAAATGACAGGGAAACTTAAATGCAGAAACTTAAACTTTCATTGAATTGAAATGACTAAGAATCGAGAATACAGAAACATAAAATTGCTGAAACATAAATTACCAAGAAAAATACAGAAAGCGGTAAATGTACTCAGTGAGCAAGGAAATCCAGATTGCCAGAAGCTTCATGGTGTTCGTTGCTTCTCCGGTAGACTTTTCACTACTGATTCTGTTCTCTGCCAATTTATGCCCCCTCGTTCCTTCCTCCTTTGCACTATTTATAGGGCATCATTCAAACCTTCCAGGAGCAGTTAACAAAAACTGCTACCACGTTCTTCGTGTGCGTTGCAGTTTCTTCTTCTGTGGTGTCAAAACTGCACCCACGTTCCCATGATCTTCAACTTCTGCCACGATTTAGAAAATGTTTCCTATATGCGTGTTTAACTCCTCTTTATGATCTGGCCACGATTTCGATTTTACGCGGGTTAACCTTTCTTTCGATTTAGACTTCGATTTTATCGAGAACTTCGGATTTACTTTTGATTCCTTTTTACCTTAGCATCATATACTTCTAATTTCTTGGTTTGTTCCACAATAAACTTTTGACTATTATTTCTCCGATTCCAACTCTAACTTTCGATTTTATGTGCCATGCCATTCTAATTGGACATCGAATGGTTCCTCATCTACCTTTTCGTTTTACCGATCAGTCACATGTTTCTCGATTTTTCTTTCCTTCATTTTTTCGATCGCTTTTCTAGATTTCCTACTAACAAAATGCCCCCTTGGAAGAATATCAATAGTTTCTGTTTATATTCTTTCAACGTGATTCCCGCCTTTGCTTGTTAGAGGCCCACAAAACTTAGGGTTTAGGGTTTTTGGGGTTCTAGGGTTTACAGGGTTTTCAATTTTCCTTTTGCTTTATGTCGCCATCGCGTCAGTCTGCTGTCTTACTGTACACGTTACATTAATTACCTTTCACCTCCGCCGTTTCCAGCTCCCTAGGCTATTTTCCCTTTAAACTTTCTATTGGTGTTTTACTATGGTTTTTTATGCGAACTTTTACCTCTTTGCAACTTCGTCTTCCTTGAGCTCTTGTCTTCATCTCTGCGCCTTCATCTCTCCCGTTGCTTTTCTTCACCCTACCCATTACTGAAATGGCCACTTCATCCAAATCTTCTGACTTTTCTGTTTCGCCTCTTCCCTCGTTGACGGCTCCCCTTCTGGAGATCAATAACCAGAAGTTTGCTCCAATTCCTCTGATGGAGGAGGCTTCTCAGAAAATCGCTGAGACGCAGGTACTCATTCCTTACACTGCTGATAGTGTTAATTTTGGTTTTGGGGGTCCTGTCCGTTCTAGTAGTGGGACTTTTTCTTCCTTCACCCTCTCGAACAGCCCAGCACTTATTCACCACCCTGAGGTTCGGACGGATTTCTTGAATATGGCATCGAGAGTATACCGAACGGGTCCACCTTCCAAAAAACCTTCATTCCTTAGGTGGTTTGATAGAGTACAAGCTAAGTTTGGGAACCACTGGAGAGATATAGGGATTTTTGATTTTTTACAGCTATCTCGATGCGATTTGTCGTCTTTGGATATGGCAATGTTTCTATCTGCCGTGCATTTGTGGAACAAGGATTTGCATGCCTTGGAATTGCCCTGTGGTCCCCTGTCACCTACTCTCTTTGAGGTTGCTGCTATAAGCTGGATTAAAACCTACTGGGGAGAAGTATTATAAGGGTGCTTACCCTTCAGATAATTCTTTGAGATCTAAAATCGATTGGGAATCGAAGGCTTACGGACATTTTCTTGAGAAGCATTTCGTCGATGACGAATTGAAGGCTGTGACTAATGAAGAACACATAGCCTTTTTGATATATTGGCTATGTACCTACGTTTTTTGTCCTCGATCCATCCAAATCTCCTCACAC